CCCCACATCTCCGGCCCCAGCAACAGGATCGCCAGTCCCGGCTGGCAGCAGCAAAGGCACGAAAGCTGGCTGTTTTTTATTGGGGAAGTGTCATTAATGCGGATACATGGCGGACATGTTGATGCCAGGCCGGGACTGCGGGACAGCATGTCTCAAGTGGCACAATTAACCGGGTCACGGGCCAGTGAAGTGTCACCAGATGCAGTTTTGGAGATATACCATCAAGTGGGCCGCGTCGCGGCCTATCACTCGACGAGGCTGGACTATCCGGTCTAGCCGGAGACCGGTTTTCGTGATGCGCCGTCCACGACGAACACAGAACCGGAAGCTGGCTGTCCATCACCTGCCTCTCCTCGATTTGACTCCCACTTGGAGGGAAGAAGGAATGTTTTCGGTAGAATATTTATTCCACTTTTTTGTGCCTACACGGAACTGTTCTTTTGGCGAGGGTCCCCGAAATGCCTCGTGCATGCAATAGATTGCAATAAGGAACTTCTGCGGATTCGTCACGCTAGACGGGTGACAAGTGATAGAATATGGGGATTTTATTGTAAGTTTTGATCTAGTTTCGATGTAAAATAAGAGCCCAGTAAGAAGGGCAACGCAGGCTTCAAAGCTAGCCTTAGATCAACACCCAACGATTATAACGGGAATAAAACTAGGCGATATGTAAGTCATGAAAAATTTAGTACTGAATAGTTAAGCGAGGCTCGATCGTAGTTTTGTCTAGACCAATGCAATGTAAAGCTAAAATGGGACGATTGAATTGGCAATGGAACTAAAAATGATAATAAATTAAAGATACGAAGAGCAGCTGTGCTTAGATGAATCTTCTAAGAATGGGGAGACTTTCCTTTCGTATGAAAGTGCATGAAGAAGAGATTCGTAGGCCGATCTCACCAGAAGACGACGGCTGATTTTTGTCGTATTGCCACCGTTTGGTTTTAATATGACGTTCAGTTTGACGCAATCCACGAGACATCCTCCCTCATCTCGGACGAAAACGAGTTAAGCTTTCATTCATTAACTGATGGGCACTATAAAAGCTGGGACTCATTCCTTTAAAGGTCTCGAATTATGAGTCGTTTACGGAAGTACGCAGTCTTGGTCAGGGTTTTTTCTCGCGTCATTAAGCCTTGATGGCGTGAGCCTGACATTTGACATTTTTAATCACTCTGATTTAGGACAGATATATTGCTTATAGATATTAACACA